TCGGCGAATACAAGTGCAACGCAGTGGAAATGTATTCAGACCTGCCAGAATGCCGCCCTGAGAACTGCAACAGGGTGCCTCCTCATGACGCCTGTGGACCACTTACATGAGGAGACGAAGGTTCTTTCCTTACGTCAGCATAATCATATGCTTTCGTTGCAGTACCTGCTAGGGTGTTATCGCGGGAGTCACCCTAACCACCATATGGTGGATAGAACTCCCACACACAGGCGTGTCAGGAAGGACCTGCACGATCTAGAGAGAGAGGTCCAGCGATACAAGAGAGAGCCTCTAGATCATGAAGCCTATCAAGCGGGTCTGAATAGCATTCATACTGATGCAGTCACAGAGGTAGTTAATAATTACAGTATGAATGCCATACTCGGAGTCCACCCCCCATCCATTGCAGCTGAAGAACGTCAGTTGCCTAGACAGACCAGGTAGGTTTGGCGCAATTACGTTCAGGATGGTGTAGTCGTCTCAATTCGTATTGGGCACTAATTAATGAAAATGTGCGTGACGCCTGCCCGGCGTGTGATACAGGCCCACACAATACGCTGCACCTCTTTAATTGCAAAGCCAAACCAACCCATCTCACTCCAGAAGATCTCTGGCTACAGCCCATTAAAGTAGCCGTATTTCTAACCCTGGAGCTGGAACCAGATTAGCAGAACGCAAACACATTCATGTACTACTGCTACAACAACAACAACCAGCTCAGGACCCTTTCGTATCCAAAATCCATTGCTTTCAATAGAAAGACTATTCAGAAATGTTCTAACCTTGAACCACTCACTCACTTCCTCCTGGAATTAACTGTAATGAGATGTTACCCGTAAAGTTCATGCGAACAAGAGACATGAAACCAATGACCCATTTTTTTATCCAATATTTGGGGGCAAATCCATTAGTTTTTCCCAAAACTTCCTTCGGTATATCTCTCAATAATTATAACATTTGTTGTGTGTAAATGTTTTTTTTTTTTTTTTTCTAAATTCTTTTTCTGTTATTTTCGCATTTTTATTTGTTTTTCCTCTTTGTTGCTATTGTGCTATAATTTATTCTGTGATGTCATTATTTTTCTTCTGCTATCCCACACTCAAGTTGAGGGAGGTCGGTCCAATGCTGCTGCTGCTGCCATTAGTGCTGCTGATGGTGGTGGTGCTGTGGTGGTTGTATAGTTTAGCCACCAGCAAACAGGCTTTTGACCCTTTGCAAACTATGTATGTGTTGGTTGAATGTGTGCGTGTGTGCAAATGACACGCAAAGAGAAATCGCATAAAAAATATGCATAATATATATATATTTAAAAAAAAAACTAGAAACAATCTATAAATATGTAAAGAATTGTTGATAAGTCGTCAGTGAGTTATACAGTCACGTGTCAAAAAGAATAAATACCCGAATGAATAACTTTCACAATGGAAATGAAATACTCACTGAACCGACATGGATCGAAAATCCAACAGGCTACAGATGTGAGTTAGATGGGAGGAAGTGACAATATGGGAGACTTTAGAAATTAACACAATAAGGAAAATGAAATCTACGTCAGCTCATTAGAATTTCTCTCTTCAAATTCCAAAATTTGTAGTAAATCGCAGTGCAGTGGAGTTGCAAAGGAAAGGACAAATTTTATGCTGGAATACATAAAAATAAAGAGGAGATTGCAGTCATATCGGGCCATGTTTCTACTTGTTTTGTCCTCCAGAGTCCTGTCAAGGAGTGATTAAATTGATACCGATTGTTCCTTGTTGTGACAACTATACATGAGTAGTTTGATTTCTGCTTATCCGGTTCTAAGTCTAGGTCTAAAGATTCGGCTACTTTCGTAGGCTGTAACCGAAGATCTTCTGGAATGAGAAGTTTAGGTTTGGCAGGTCAATTAAAGGGATGCAGTGTATTGGGCGGGCAGGCGTTTCGCATATCTTCATCAATTCGTGTCCAATACGAATTGAGATGACTGTATTCTTCTAAACGTAGTTATACGAAAAACTACCCTGGTTTGTCTGGGCAGCCGACGTTCTTCACCTGCAATGGTTGGGGGATTGACTCCTAGGAAAACATTTACATTACATTCAGTGGAATCTGTGACTACATCAGTGTGGATGCTACTTTTAGATGCTCTCTCTCTTATAGCGTTGGAGCATCCTCTCTAGATCGTGTAGGTTATTCCTGACACGCCCGGGTAGTGGAGTTTCATCCACCATATGATGGTTTGGATGACCCCACGATAGCACCCAAACAGAGACAGCAACGAAAGCATATGGTTATGCTGACGTACGGGAAGGATTTTTGCCTGCTCATGTAGTTCTTAGAACAGCATTCTGGCAGATCTGAATATTTTTCTACACTGGGGCCCTATAGCTAAACACAGGCCTTCGCCTCCTCATGTAGTTCTTAGGGCAGCATTCTGGCAGATCTGGATATGCCACAGACCACCACAAATTCTGCCGGCTAGTGCCCAGAGGATATTGTTCCAACTTTTCAATTTATCGCTAAACATTTTGTCGAATATGACCCCTAGGATTTTGGTCTAGTTTTTGGTCTGAGTAACATCTCCCTCGACATTCACATTCATCTGTATTCTGATCTCCGCATACCATGTGCTTAGTGGTGGATATTTTCATATTTCTCACGAGGAAGAGGCGCCAAGCTCGATCAACGACCAGATCCGACGCCATGATCGTCCAATAATACGCGTAAGTTTGGATCGCAATACCGTTTGGGTTCGAGGAATTCCGAAAAGGTAGATGTTAAACAGATACGGGGATATAACCCGATCTTGGGACACTCCCAGGTTCACTCTTCGGCATTTGGTCTTCTTGTTCCGGAATTATACGTACGATTTGCGTTCACACCTCCTCAGTGAGAGTACTCTTCGTACTACACTCTTCGCCTTGTCAACCTTAAGGGATACTCGACAAAATGGTGATTAGAATGGCCAGCACACCTGTTCGGATCAGTCACCTTTACGTTTTTAAAAGTGATTCATGTCCTACCATCCTTTTAGCCAGGGCTTGAGAGCGATTTAACCTTACTCATATCGGTTCCAATGTTGCAACGCTCATATGGTCTAGCTACTTGGAATGACGGAGATTATCACGCTCATTTTGTTAGTCCCGCTGCCTCTGCTGAGAAATTTGATCACATCAGTGCATCCTAATTTCTTAAAAAAATTGACAGTCTGACTGATTGAACGCCCCAAGCCACCCTTTTCCTTATATGCTCCTCTAACAACGGAAATCATCACGCTCATTTGCTAGTCCCGCTGCCTCGGCTGGGGGAATTTCGTCTTATTACGGACATTCAACCAGCTGCAGCTTTGATGATGTCTCGGAAATCCTTTCTACTAGCTGAACATCTAAAGGGCAGTTCTCTGAAGCGAAGATTGGTGAACTCTCTGAATTCCGGCCAGAGAGCTTTCTCATTGTTCGTTCTCGACATCGTCAATGTTTGAGTTCTTTGCGGAAAATGCATCTTCTGCTGAAACAGAGTGCTCGCGTATCTACTTGTTGAGTAATGCATAGGTGACAGATTATCGACAAGAGGAAAATTCAGCAACACTCAGATTTTCCCGTAAGTCTATTTCGGAGATCAATGGAGATCAGTTTTTAACGCTTAACTTAGGCTTATGAATGCAGTCCGTTTTTTTTTTAAATCTTCAGTTTTATACTCTGATCACGATATGCGTTTTAAGGGCATGTAATGTTCTGAAGAATTTAATGGACGGACGGCTTTGAGCCCCGGCCAAAGGTCTGGATGAAAGGCACATATCTCTCACGCATAATAAACATTTTTTTTGGCATAACTCCGGTTTAGTATAAACTTTTCAATTTTATATTTTTCCGCAATCAGGGTAAAAGATATCTACATCTGAATATTTGTAAAAAAAAGTCAGAGTTTTTTAAACTGATTATTGAAGATTAGCTGTCCAATGAACTGTGCCAAACAAAGACTCTTATCAAAAATATACCTAGGTACATATACACATTTGTAAATCTAAAGCGATTTATTGAAAACCCCATTGGTACTATTGTTCTCTCGGTTAACCAATGAAAGATAAGTTAAAAAGTCAGAATCAATATGAAATTCGACTAAATTTTTGCGAGGATTTGGACTGTGAATCCAAAGTGACAAATTAATGCTGATTTGGTTTTAAATTGGGTCTGAAACTTTGAAAATAGCAAAAATTACCGGTTCATGAAAGCTATACCAAAACGATATATTTCAATGTAAATACCAAATATTCTAGGTATAATAAAAATGCCTTCCAATATTTTAAACGCCTTATCTTTAAAATTGGGTGAAAAGTGATTGCAATAGACGGACATATAGACAGACGGGCATGGCCAAGCCGAGCCAATCAGCTGATTTTTTCGCAAATAAAATAAACAACCTTTTTGTTCTTTGCACTGACAGTAGGTGGGGGTTAAGACTCCGTTTTTTTCTTTAACACGAAAAAAAGCTTCAAGATACAATTAAAAGTTTTTTTCTAGCCACTCATACAATAACCACAACATTTACATGCACAAAAACATATGTTTTTAGACATGTGTGTTGTCTATATATTTTTTTTAACTTTATAAGTATGTATTAATTTTTGACGATGGGTCATCAATCCCTTGTTTGAAAAAAGAATAACATCTCCGGCGCTGAACGTCCAACGTTGGTAATGTGTGCTTAACGTCAAACGTCATTAAAGATTTGACATTATTTTTGCAATTATGACACCATAAATTATTTTCTCTCTCTCTCTCTCACGTATTTTATGTTTAATAATTAAATTATTTATATTTCGCATATTTCTTTTCTTTATTTCTTTCATCGGCGGCGAATGTCATGAAGCGAATATCGACAATAAAACGCACAACCAACCGCACACAGCGAACGAAACAAAATCATCTCATACACACAGCTGCAAAAATGAAATGAAACACAAGGAAAACAACAACAGCGATTACTATCGATTTTTAGAACAAACACACTTGCACACACACCGTGTATAATACCACTGCCGTCGTTGCAAATTTTTGTTTTTTTTTTTGCCATAAAAATTATTACTTTCCGGGTTTGTTTTATGTTTTTCTCATAGGTTTTTTGTTAACTACGTTTCTCAGCGTACAATATATTGTAATTTGTTTATTTTTTCAAAATATTTAACCGATAAAATTTCGTACAACTTCTAAGCACCATACAACGACGAACGAACGAATTGCAATTTTTCTTCTTTCATTTTTTACTCGGCTTTTTCTTTTGTTTCTTTGATTTAATGCAATTTCTCTTTTCGCCAATTCCTTATTTTTTCATTGTGCATGGCATTCTTTTTTTTTTTTTTTTTTTTTTTTTTTGCATCCGCCCAATAAGAATTATTGCTCTCACTCGTTTTGGTTCTCTCTCTATCTCCCTCTCTCGGAAGAAGTGTCTGGTAGGCTCTCTCAGATTTTGTTTTTTAGTATATTTTCGTTACTCTTTTTCGCTGTTGGCTGTTTCTACTTTGTTCCTTCTTGTTATTTACATTTGCACAAAAATTTTTAATTTTATTCTATTGGACTTATCTATGTGAGTTGCAAACCCGAAAAATGCATATTTCCCTATTTTTGTTAATACACCGGGTTTGCAACAAAATGGCTACCAGCCAGACTTTCTAATATTTCGTTACTGAAATTTATTATTTTTTGGTAGATTTGCCACTTCCAAAAACACCTTTCGCAATAACATCAGCTTGCTTTTCTTCCTTTTCTCTTTTCTTTTGACTTTTTTTTGCACTGCTTACTTCATTCACTTTTTTCCTTTGTCATTTCAATTTTTCAATTTTCATGTACTTATATGTTTTCATGTTAACAGGAAAAATACTAAATTATTTTATTCTCTCCACATTTGTTCACTTTAAATTCTATTTTATTAATTTCACAAAATGAAGACACATTTAAAACAGACAATTTAATTTCTTTTCACAACGCCTTGTGAGTTGTGTGTGGTGATGTTGGTGGCCACAACACCTTTATCGATTTTACTCTGACAGGCTCCGATTTATTTTCCCGACGTACTTTTTCCGGTGTTCCTTGCAAAATTTTTTTCATTACATTTTTTGCAGAGCAAATTTTTCTTTACAAATCATTCGTTTTCCATATAACTTTTTACATATATGAAATTTATTATATGGAATTATATTATACCATAGATACCTTTGAAAATAACTTTTATGCAGTATTAATAAATTATTTTTCTATTATTAAAATTAACTCAACTCGACCAGAGAGTTTTTCTTTCCAAAATCACACAGAGTTCAGAGTCGCAGCAAATTATAACTAAATGCGGAAAAAAAACGAAGAGTGTTATTAATTTATCGTGATTAGCAGAGGACGGGATAACAATATATCGTGATTAGTATATATTGCCATATTGGCTTCGGATTACAATTTGATGAAGACAGTTTTTGTATATATGAATTGTTATCACAATAAAATAATATGAACCAGATTGTGAGTAAAAATGTTAAAACAAAATTTCCATTTAACAAATATTTTTATTAGCCAAATGGTAGGCAATACCCATGGTAGAAAAATACAGGTAGATGCATCAACGCTTGGGAGCATTGATATGTCAAAAATTTTTAAATTTCTTTTCAAATATAAGTAGATTTTTATATGTTTTCTTATACGACACAAATCGTGGGTTGTAAAGATATGCATTTTTCAACAATTTTTACAAATTTAAATAGTTTTTCATTCAACATTTTTAATTCCAAAATTGGTTTGACAGTTCATTGTCCCAGCAGCTGCGTCGATGCGTCTACCTATATTCTTCTACCATGGCAATACCTTGGCACAATTGCAAAAGGTGGAACAAAGCTACTTCCCATGGTAAAATTAAGAAGGTAAAGTCATTTCAAATAAGTATTCCCATCTCTGCACTTTCTGTAATTTCCTTGTCAAATTTCGTTGAAAAAAAAAAACAGATTTCTGCGTATACTATAGATGTATAAATATAAACTTTGACAATGAGATGTCAAATGACTTATTTTCAAAACAATTGACTTTACCTTCTAAATACATTTTTTTCTTTTGGCGTTCTTATTCTGTCAAAACATATACACTATATGTGTGTATTGTTTTGAATATAAACAAATAATTTTGAATTATTTCAAATTCAGTTGCAATAGAAATGTAAGATAACCCCAACATTTCATTCATGTTTTGTTGTTTTCCCCATTATGAGAATTTTGTTAAAAAAATATAAAATAAACAAAACAATTGTAGCATATTAAAAATTCTATATGAATTTTTCATAGTTTCTTAAAGCTCTAAGGAAGCTTTCTTAATGACCCATTACCATTTTTAGTCGCGCAAGTTGTATTTTCTATTTATGGACCGGATTTCTTTTATTTGCCAGAGTATCAAAAATTCTGAATGAATATGAAAATATGGTTTATTAACAGGAAGAAAATAAAATCAAATCTTAAAATAGTTTTAAAACTTTGTATATGAAATGTCAAAAATATTTGCATGAAATTTAAAAATATATTGTTGTAATTCAAAATAAAACATTAAGTCATGTGAGCTTTCATGTACAGAAAATATTTTAAAAATGATATTTTCTGTCATTAACTACCATTGGTGTGTACCGTACATTATCTTTTCGGTGTTTTTCTTCTACCAAAGACCAACAATCGATTTGCCGAAAGTCGATCTACATATCCCTTCAACTGGGACACGTACATCTATAAAAAAGAAGTAAATTTTATATATTTTTCATTTTATTCGCCTTAAATTGTTAATTCTAATTGCTAATTTCTTAATATTGCATTTGTGAAGTGCAGTTAAACGCGCGATAAACTGATTTTTGGCATTACTAACCAATAAAACAAGCTTAAATTCTTAAGAAAAATCGTTTGACCAACTATTTCTGATTGACGAAAATTTTGTTGTTTTTTCCCTCAACTTCTCATCTTATTGCAATAATTAACTGGTTATTACTACTGTGTGTCGTCACTGATTCCGCTCCACCACCATCACTGACGGGCAAATGATTCCCGATCGCAGTCAGACCATTTCGTATATTTATGTATTTTAAATGGTTTGACTTTCGAGGAGCGAACGCGGAGTTAACGAAGCAAGATTAACATATTTTTCGAGTCGATCAGCCAAGTGGCTGTGCGTGTAAACAACAGTACCATCATGCAGTTGCTGCTTTCGGCCATATGTATGGCACTGACCAGTGCCGTTATTGGGAATGCCTGGTACCAGAAGAAGCAATTCTATCCGGCGGTGGTGTACATCACCAAATCGAATGCATCAATGGCGGTAAGTGCACAAATTCTCAAGAGTCTTAAGATGATGACAAGTGGATGGTAGGCGGCAGTAGTGGGTGGCAGAGGGCGCCCATTCTACGTTCTGTGTGTTCACGGAGTATAGAATGTCTGTGTGTGTGATATGACCTCATTGCTTTAAAATATTGTATTTGTCCGATGTTATTTTTCAGGTGATTTACATTCAATTCTTTGCCATTGTCTTTATGTTTGGTAAATTGTTGCGAAAGGTAAGTGCTAATTGGAGCTTAAACTACAGAGACAGGGGAATACCAGAGTAATCAAATGCAATTTGTTACAGATCTTCTTGGGTACATTGCGAGCTGCTGAATTTGAACATCTATTGGAACGTTTCTGGTATGCCCTGACGGAAACATGTTTGGCATTTACCGTATTTCGAGATGATTTCAATCCAAGATTTGTGGCCCTGTTTACGGTGTTATTGTTTCTCAAATCATTCCATTGGTTGGCCGAAGAACGTGTAGATTTTGTAAGTATTTCAGGTGGGAATATTTAGTTTATTTGAAAGGTGTTTTTTTTTATTACTACACTACTTGAGTCAAGTGTTATCAGGAGATATTTATTTACTTGTTGTAGTTGTTGTTGTATCATTGGCAACTTTGAACTACGACAGCTGATAAAAAGAAACGAACAAGTTGATGTGTTCTTTCATTTGCATACCTATGATGTGTACTTGTTTATTTACAGTCGAATAATAATAACAACAACAACAAAATAGACTAAAACCCCATTAAATCTTGAAACGACACCTGTCGCCACAATTTCATAACTAATCAGAAATATTGTGCTTTTAACGATAGATAATGTAATGGGATTAGGGGGTCACCCTGCAGATATAAAGATAATCTTAATGCCAAAAACGGTAATAATGAAACAATTGTAGTTATTGGATTTAATCCGATAAATGTTGGTAAAACCGAAAGTGGAATAATCACAACAAGATCGAGATCCAAAGGAAATCTCAATACCAAGATCTGTAGGATTTACTATCGGCAAACACTATTCGAAACTATCGACAACGTCGAATTGTTTATCCGCATGATAAAACCTATAATCCTTACGGATATCGCCAATGTGACCATATCTGAAGCGCATGACTTAATGAGTCATTTGATTCTGCCTATCACGAGAAGGATTTAAAGAACGTCAATCAACCACTACTTACCCAAAAAAAAACCTCGATCACGTTCGATAGATATTTAAGTCGCCAGGATAGACCACAGTTGTCTTCAAAAAATGCAGTAGTACTCCAGTACTCCATGGAGGAAACGTTAATAGCTTTTCACAGGAGAATATTATAATCAGATGACCACCAAATTTCGATACACATTTTTTAGATAAATTATAGAAATTCTCCTTGTATGATGTACACAAATGTAGCCTCATATACAAAACAGATCTTTAAAATACTTAAATTAATGCTTTATTAATTTCCCTCCTCTTCTTTTCAGATGGAACGTTCTCCCGTACTTGGGTGGCTATTCCATATACGTGTGGCCAGTTTATTAATGGTATTGGGCACATTGGACTATATGCTGCTGATGCATGCCTACAATTCGGCATTGGCCCGCGGTCCCAGCGTACAGCTAGTATTTGGTTTTGAATATGCCATTTTATTGACCGTGGTGGCGAGCACAGCTATAAAATATGTTCTACATGCAGCTGAAATGCGTACGGACACACCATGGGAAAATAAGGCAGTTTTTCTACTCTACACTGAACTTTTTATTGGTTTCATCAAAGTCATTCTGTACGTTTTGTTTGTCGTTATAATGGCGAAATTCTATGCCCTACCCATGTTCGTATTCCGACCAATGTTCTTTACCATACGTAACTTTAAGAAGGCTTTGAGTGATGTGATAATGTCTCGACGCGCCATACGTAATATGAATACTCTTTATCCGGATGCCACACCCGAAGAGTTGAGATTATCCGATAATATTTGCATTATTTGTCGTGAAGATATGGTTAATCATTCGAAGAAGTTACCATGTGGTCATATATTCCATACAACGTGTTTGAGGTCATGGTTCCAACGCCAGCAGACATGTCCCACGTGTCGTTTGAACATCTTAAGGGCACCGGCCACAAATTCTACAGCTTTGCCAAGGCAAGAGGATAATAATGCGGCAGCTGGCAATGCTAATGCTGTGCCAGTTGTAGCAGGAGTAGCACCGGCTGCCGTTGTTGCCCCGGTCATACCAGGTGCTGCTGCGATTGTTAATGCAGCTAATGTACCAATTGTACCCAATTTGGTGGCAAATGCTCCAGACAACGCCACGCCAATACCACCCACTCTTACACCCAATCCCTTCGAACAACTGGTTGCAAATGGTAAGTTTTTTTGGGCCTTGCTTCGGAAGTAATATTTATAAAATTTTGTTTTTATTTTCCAGCTGGCCTAACAGCCAATACGGTACCCAATTTGGCAGGCTCTGGTGCAAATGGTTTACCAAACTTTGCCGGCTTACCTATGATGCCGCCACCATTTATGATGCCACCACCATTCCCCTTTGTGGCACCATATGCTGTACCACCACCACCAATGCCACCAGATCTAACCACATTCACAGATGAAGAGCTCAGAGCTATGGAAGGAAACGAAAGGAAAAATGTTGAGGAGCGTATAAAGGTATGTGATACTGATATAGAAAGTATATCCTCACCCGGAGATGTGGGTATTCTACATCCAAAATCACCCCTTTTTAGAATTGACTTATGAGGAGAAGAAGGAGGAGTTGAATCGGATTGTGCTTCTATATCAAGATTTAAAAAGTCAGCTAATCTAATAGGCCGTATCCAGGGGCCATAAACAGCCAAGCTTGATTGGCTTCTTTATCTAAAGGCTTTCTCTCTCTTATATCGTTGGACCTCCCTCTGTAGATCGTGTAGATCCCTTCTGCATGAGATTATGCTGACGTACGGAGGGAATTTTCATTTTTAATGTACATGAGGTAACATGACGAGGCGACCCTATGCAATATTCAGCCTGGTATTTTGAAAAGTCTGTATACTTTTCCAATGCGTAGCATTATTATTTGCAGAGCACACTGGAGTCGCATATATAACAACAGTTCGACTTATTACTTTATAAGAGGTCAACAAGATTTCCTTGTACGCATCCGAAGATGTAAGAATACTAGCCCTGTTTAGAAGGGGTTTTGAGAAAATATTCTCAAAAAGCGACAGAGCTCACAGTTTCACTTCAGATGGCTACAGATTGCTAAAGCAACGGTTCATATATTCTGGCGATCTTCTGATGGAGATATTTATAGGGAAATAGTCTCATTAAAGTTGAATGACATTGCTCTAACAGAATCTTCCACAGCTCTGTTAGCCATTGAAAGTCCCTACTAACTTGAAGTTGTTGTCTATTTTAGCTCTTGATTAATTTTTCTTTTCGTTCATCCATCTTCTCTATAATTTTAGAATTTTTCTTGTACCATCACGTAAATCATGGAAATAATATATTTTTTTGTCTTTACAGCTTTTACGCAATATACAATTAATGCTTGATGCAGCTAATGTCCTTATGCAGAACTATCAAATAGTTGCTCCACGTAGTGTCCCAATAAGTACACCCGCAGCAGCAGCAGCAACATCTACATCCGCCACATCAACAACTAGCAAACCGGATGATATAGCAAATCCAACAACATCCAAAGTGACTACAACAGAAAGTAAAACCGATGAACTACCATCAACATCATCGGCGGCAGCAGCAGCAGTCGCAGCAGCTGCGGCAACATTAGCGGCAGCATCACAAAAAGAAATGCCAATAAAAGCTGAAGAAAGCAAAGAAATTCCAGTTGCCAAACACAATCAAGTAACCATAGAAGATTTGGGTGGTGAGGAAGATGATCATATAGATGGGCCAGAAAAGGCCACAATAGCATCAACTTCGAAGGAAGTGGACAGTACAGCCGAACAGATAAATGAGTTGAGAAAACGACGCTTAAAATTCCTGGAGGAACGCAACAAAACGTCTACAGAATAAAAGAATGTTAAGGCTCAATTTTTATAAATGATGATCTATAATAGTAAAACTTAACTCTTATATTTTGAAGGTGGACTGAAATCGTTTTTTTTTTTTATAAAACTCTAAAGAATTAAAACAAACAACAAAAAACAAACAAAACATAGTAGTTTTTCCTTTGGTTTTAAAACTATCATTTTTAGCTGCAATTAATACCCCTCCAAAACACTTTTCTACTCCACATAACTGTTTATCCTTGTTGAAATTGAGTTTAAGGACTTGTAACTACTAATATTTGTTATTACTATTTTATGTTCTTATTTTAATACAGTACTCAATGCTTTAAAAAAAATGTCCCCCTCCCCATAACAACCATTGAAACATTATCCTTCTGTTTCTATGTTGTTTTCTCTATTCCTTCGATGCGAGCAAGTGTAAAAAATAATTTTCTTTATAAACAAAATAATACTTGATATATATAAAAACATATAAAGAAAATTATTAATATAACGATATATAATTTAAAAACATAAAAATATGTATGTAGCTATAACATATATTGTGTATAAAAAAGAAACCAATTAGAAGACAAAATTATGAATTGCAAAATTTAAAACAAACAAAACAAAAAAAAGAGAAAAACGAAAATAAAAAACTTTAAGATTACAAACAAAAAATGGGAAGATTTAAATTTATGATTACAAAAGAAAAAACAAAAACATTAATGTACATGTATTAAAAATAATTTATAATTATATTTAGAATTTAAAATAAAACAAATCAACAACAAAACACACACAAAATTATTATAAATGGAATAAAAGTTGTGTTTTTATATCAAATGTTGTTTTGGGCAACCAGGAAAGTGTTTTATGACCCGGTTTGCTACTATAAAAGGGAGCCATCGAAAACGTGGACAAAAGTCAAACTAAATTGCAGCGATTTCAAGATAAATTTTCTAATTAACTAAAATAGGAAAGCAAAAGGTGCCAAATTCTTGCATTCGATATCGAAGAAAATTATATCGCGATTAATTCCTGTTGACTCATTTTACACTGATAAAAATAAAAAAAAATTGTTAAGAACAACTGGGGCTTAACTGTAACTTTCGACACCTAGTTGTTTATATGGAAATCTTAAGTTTAATGAAATTGAAATAATTTGGCGCAAGTTCATAAGTTTTTCCAGCAACAAATTGCCAAAATCCCAGCTAGAAGTGCTTGGCACAAAGATATACCTGACGTAGTCCCAAAAGCGACAAAGCCATTATCATGCAATGGAGTTTTTAGATATTTCCGATCGTAAAAACAATTTTAAGATGCCATTTGGTTAGAATTTATTTATTCAATTTATTCCCTAATACTGAATCCAGGTTAGGTGCTTCACTCGGAGACCATCGGTCTATTGTGCTTATCCCGGGAATTAAAGGTGATGGGAAAGATATAAATCGATTAGGAAAGAAGGAATAGAAAAAGATCTAGTAAGGTGCAGTTTTTCTAGGCCATGACATTTTTTTAGCAAAACTATGGATGTTTATGGGATCGATGTCTGAGAAGAATGTTATCGAAGAGCCTATATCTCATGCTCGACAGTGTGGTATATCTGCATACTAGATGCTGAATATCTCCCTTGTCTTCACATAGTCTAGAGTAGTCAGAACTGCTGTTATTCTATCTTGAGGTCAAATATCTGATACTGCAGTAGACAGTCAATGTGCCCAACGCGAATCTAGATCAGGCGTACAAATTGATAGAAGGCTCAGGTTCTCATTCTTGAAATTGCCGGCCAAATGTCCCTTAATTCATTGCAGCCGGTTCCCAAGTGCCAGCTTAACCGACGAGAGCCTTTCTGATGTAGCTGGCATAGTACTTTATAAGTGGTTTGACAGTCTAATCGACTGGGAACCACAACGAACTAATTCGTCAATTTTTACCCAATATATTACTAGGACACAAAAGAGCCGGATGATTTACAAAATAATAGACAGTTTATGTTTATGCTTCATAGTTTATGTTTACAGTTTGGTAATACTTAAGCTAATCAAGTCCTGCCCCGTTTAATCTGTGTTTATTTTCAATGCAATGTGCCTACACGGCACTGCAATACTAGGGACATTAAGGTTGCCGAACAGCTAATAAGAAGGGAAAACTCGGAAAAATTTTTAAAGAAGACAACTGAACAATTTAATGTATTTTATCTTCAAAAGTGGATGTGGGGCATGATATGCCTGTGTCAACCCGCTTAAGGCACCTTCTACATGGTCCATTTTCAATACCAAAGGTTCTACACACCTAAAATATATCTGAGCAAAATTATAGTAGGTTTATATAACGTAAATATATAACATGTATATACCTGGAAAAATTTTTGTTTTCTTTTAGGACACGTCAAAAAACACATCACGTTCAATCCGATACGAATTTATTGAGAACAAAAACTGATTGATTTTTTGATTTATGAAAGCACCAGCTTTTACCTTAAAATTATTTTAATTTACCTTTTGGCATAACTTAACTGCTACGGGACTCAACTTCTCTAAACTCTGCTGGATCTGTAAAACGTACTGTCAGTATATAGAATATTGAGGGGAATGGTACTAACGACAGCAGGGCATAATGATGGCCCAAGGCAATAATACCATAAGCCAGCAAAAGCCATTGAATACCTTAAAATGAAAAAGAAATGTAGATTATTTACTTTCTGCTCAGACATAAAATTGCTGCCGTACTTACATATAATCACAAAGTTTTTTATTTCCATAAAGGAAGATTTGACCAATGCTTTAAAAGATTGATCCAATTTCATGGAATAGTGTATTGCATTTGAGATCATTGACATGGCTATACTCATATAAGGAAAGGCATAATCTAGAGAAAATAAAAAATTATCCACATAAATATCTTTGATTATACGTACACATAACACTTACATATCAGACCACAAGCCAGGGCATGAACAAATGTAATCAAAGGTAGGAAGTAAAGAGCAGCATAAATTGGTGCTTTACCTCTGACATCCAAGACGCCACTAACTATGGGCCTTATAATGAACATGGTTACCAGGCAAAGAAAATAAAATACCAGGACAATGGTTTGTCTGAAAATAAGACGAAAAACATAAAACTAGCTTCTTCACATACATGAAATATACTTCGTCAACTGACAACAAATACTTACAAAGGATACACTGCTTCCTGCGTGCAATGCAATGTTTCCTCATAATTTGGTGTGGGATTATAGAACAGCGTGTACCAATCGGAAAATTTCCTCACTGGACATGAAAATAAACGAAATTCTCCCATAGGTTCCATCAATAGAATTGATACAATTGCCGAAATGGTAACCTCCACAATGGCACAAGATGTTAATATCAATTGTTTACGAGAAAATCTTTAAAAAAAATACATATATAATTTTAACATCATGAACATGCCATAACCGTGCAATCTTACTTTCGATCTTTGGCATCCAAATCAATGAAGAAGCAATGCATCATCAGCGGTAACATTGCCATAAAGCCCATATAAAACCATGAATACGAATCCAATTCATCTTCGCATTGATTGCAGGCATAGCTGGCATTTACCCGAAATCCCCGTGGACAAGGTCCACAATCACTCCAACCATCTTCCAATTCTACACGGCCACAATATTGTCCAGGACAACGTTCCAATGTTGTTGACATTTCTAATGCTGAAGCATATCCCACTGCCACGGTTGTCTGCAGACAAACTATGTTTACATTCACGACTAGGGTTACTTAGGTCGACTTTATAGCTTTTAGTATTTGCATAAACGAACAATTGATTTAACATGTACTGTGTTCCCGTAGCGGGCCGTAATTATTTAACGGTAAAACTAATAAGATTATCAACATTTGAGGGCAATCCTTTTAAATCAGAAGCTTGTGGAACGTTTACTGTTTATCGGATTTAGTAAACCCAGTGGATTTAAATTGCCAAGTCCATTGCATATAAAACAAATAAATCATCAGGAATGAGGTTACAAGAATATAAAGTCATGCAAACATAAGCTAACAATATTCTCAAAATTATTCGTCAAAATATACATTTATAAATCCTTGTAAATATAAAAATCAGAGATGGAAACCTAGTATTTTATGCAGTGAAATTTGACAAGCTAAATTAAAAAAAAAAATAGAGATGGGTATGGTTATCTGACTTTACCTTCTTAATTTTACCATGACCATTACGATCAACATTGAAGCATTATGCTTTTGTGGGGCAAAGGTAATTTGTGAATAGATATTTGGCAATTCATTAAAGGTGGAAATACATAAAATGCTTTTTTGATTGACTTAAGGGTTGAAATAAAGCGCATATTTGGCTGGGTTAAGTCATCGGCTGGCTTCTTTGTAGATGACATGGTAGAAGAATATAGGTAGACGCGTCGACAAAGCTGCTTGGACAATGAACTGTCAAACCAATTTTGGAATTGAAAATGCTGAATGAAAAATTATTTAAATTTGTAAAAATTTTTGAAAAACGCGAATTATAATAGGTGAGGAGAATACATAAAACGTTTTTTTGACTGGCTTATGTCTTCCGCTGGCTTCTTAGGAAAAGAACAAAGGAGTGTTGGGCCAAAATCGCACTAAGTTAACTTGAAAGTACTTTGTTTTTATACGAAGAACCCAGCCGATAACTTAAGCCAGTCAAAATTCTTCTTATGTATTCTCACATTTGAGTCATCGGCTGCCTTCTTCGTATAGGAACAAAGAAGTTTTAGTTCGATTTTGGCCCTAAGCTTTGGTCCTTCCCATGGTAGAAGAATACAGATAGACACATCAACATAGGTGCTACCATGGTACAATGAAGAGAAGGTAGGTCAACTTTGAAAAAATTGCAAGTATATGGGTCTACCTGTTTGGCTTGTAATGTCAGAATTGCTATCAAAACAATAAAAAAGCAAACAACTTGTTGCATTGATTTTGAATAAATAATTTAAAACCGCGAAAACTGAATGAATGGTCAAAATTTCTTTTCAATATCATGCTCTATATATCTCTTATGGTTTATTTCGCGACAAAAACTGTAGATTTTGTCGATGCATTCGTTGCAATAAGCATTTTGAAAACACCCGAATTTGAATATTTTCTGAACAATTTTTTATTATTGAAAAGAAGACACACACATAAGCAAATGAAGTTGACATATTAAGCCAGAAAAATAAAAAAATTTAAATCATATGGTAGTTCTGCCCTACCTTGAATTCATTGTACCATGGGTGCTACCATGGTACAATGATATCAAGGTAGGGCAGAACTACCATATGATTTCAATTTTTTTATTTTCTTGGCTTAATATGTCATCTTTATTTGTTTATGTATGTGTTTTCTTTTCAATAACAAAAAAATTGTTCAGAAAATATTCAAATTCGGGTGTTTCCAAAATGTTTATTTCAACGTATGCATCGACAAAATCTAGAGTTTTTGTAGCGAAATATTCCTTCAGAGATATATAGTACATGATTTTGAAAAGAAGTGTTGACCTTTCATTCATTTATCGCGTTTTTCAATTATTTATTCAAAATAAATGCAACAAGTTGTTTGATTTTTTATTGTTTTGATACTAATTCTGACATTACAAGCCAAACAGGTAGACCTCTATACTTGCAATTTTTTCAAAGTTGACCTACCTTCTCTTCATTGTACCATGGTAGCACCCTACCTTCTCTTCATTGTACCATGGTAGCACCCATGGTATAATGAAGAGAAGGTAGGCCAACTTTGAAAAATTGCAAGTATAGAGGTCTACCTGTTTGGCTTGTAATGTCAGAATTAGTATCAAAACAATAAAAAAATCAAACAACTTGTTGCATTTATTTTGAATACATAATTGAAAACCGCGAAAACTGAATGAAAGGTCAACACTTCTTTTCAAAACCAGGTTCTATATATCTCTAAAGGATTATTTCGCTACAAAAACTCTAGATTTTGTCGATGCATACGATGAAATAAACATTTTGAAAACATCCTAATTTGAATGTTTTCTGAACAATTGTTTTGTTATTGAAAAGAAAACACATACATAAACAAATAAAGATGACATATTAAGCCAAGAAAATAAAAAATTGAAATCATATGGTATCATAGCCCTACCTTGATATCATTGTACCATGGGTGCTACATTGTCCCAGCACCTGTGAAACCAGTTTTGAAATTGAAATTTTTGAATGGAAAATTATAATAACAACCTCCGATTAACGTCGTATAAGAAAACATAAAAATCTTCTTATTTTTGAAGAGTTGATACATCTACCAGTATTTTTCTATCATGCCCTTTCCGAAGAAGCTACCCGATGACTTAAGTCACTAAAAAATTATATACTTCAGCCCAAAACAAAAATAGATAAAATATGACATTTTGAGATATGGAACAAATGACTGCTTTTACATGCCAAGGAACGCGGCAAATAAGGGGTTGTTTATTATTTTTGTTAAATAAGCCATTCGTCATGCACGAATATTTTATGTATGCAATAATTTTTATTCGAAAAAATGACAAGGTCGAGGTTTGTTGAAAAGGTTGCCAAATTCGATTTAGCAATTGAGATTATCACTTTTGAATTATTTAATTAAATTGTATTTTTCCTATGAAAATGTGATCGTAAAAGTGAAAAGTAAAATGTCGTCCATGTATCACACGATGTGTGCAACTTCTACATATGAAAAATTTGATAATACACATGTAAAAATACATATCGTATGATAGAGCTGTTAAAATGATTCATTGCTCATTAAGAGACGGACTGATGTGTTGTGATGGTGACGAATAATGTTTCCAAAAACCTTTGCCATTGGTTGTAAAGAAAATGTGGACCCTTTTTTACGTTTGTTGCGATCATCTCCAGTCCTCTTCTGCGCGAACACCCTACCTTCAGTACAAAATCTCATAATTCAAAATGTATATACATCCCAATTTATAGGCAGGGCATAAAAATGTGGAAGCTGGCAACCCTACTCATCTCTTTTGTTTATGTGCAAAACAATTACGTCACGGTTAAAGTTTAAAAAGCAAATTTTGATTTAATCCGCAGACACCTAGTCAAAAGATAAGAAAGTGGAAGAGTGTGAGAATTGTGGACTTTGAAGTATTCCTTAAAAACACAACCAGTTACAAACAACTTGAACAGCAAGCAGCAGCATCATGCTAAGAAATCTTGTGAAAACCTCTGGAATAATAATTCGACCAATTGTATATGGCTCTTTGCCAACTAAAAGCAATCTAATTTTGTCCACTAGCAATGGTGCCGTGTAAGTTAAGGTCAATAGCATTGCAATGAGAAATAAAAATTCTAATAAGATTGTGCATCTCGTCTTTTTAGAATGACAACGATGACGAAGCGTAATGTTGGTCTGAAACATGGTCAGAATGATCCTGCTTATGCTGGAACAATGGCAGAGGGTAGGTTTTTATTAATAGAGACGATGTTTGATGGAAAAGAAGTGGTCCATGGTCCGCCGATGTAGCCGGAAATGTATTTCGAGGTCATTTAAATGTGATGTATTCCACACCGGGAGCTGTCTTTATAAAATACTCAAGTTTTCACGTTTCAACCCAAGGATCATGAAAGGATTAGATCTTTGGGAAATGTGGGAAATTAGCTTAAACATTTCATTCCGGAGCCCGGTTTCCCGCAAGACAGTTCTCTGGAAGTATGATGTTTTTCTGTAAAATATGTAAAAAATGCTACTTACGATTCTAGACATCCTAAGCCTAGGCTACGTCGGTGCTATTGTATTTGGAATTTATGAGTAACATTTCCACTTTCCCCCCATATCCTAACTAATTTCCTTTTCATTTACAGTTAAAGATCAAATCATGGAACGTTTGGGCTTGGAGCCCGGTTATACACCAATTCCAAAGCATCGTGAACATTTACTGAAATATGAACCAAAGGCATCGGATTTGGAACCACGTTCTATGCAAGATTCATTTACTTCGGCAATTTTACCGCTATCCACGGACAAGACATTGCAGGATCGATATGTGGCATTTTTGGGTCATGTACGTTTGGGACGTTTAATGGAAGATATGGATATGTTTGCCGTTTGGGTATGCCACAAACATATCAAATTAAATAATCTTCCCGAGGGCATTCCTCTACCATACACCTTTGTCACCATATTGGTCGATAAGATAACATTCACCAATTTCCGAACGAAAGCCACAGAAGATATTCGCCTGTCGGGCCATGTTTCGTGGGTGGGCAAAAGTTCCATGGAAATTGTTGTGTGGTTGGAACAAATGGAAAATGGAGTGTGGCATAAAATCACAAAGGCCTTGTTTCTAATGGCTGCCCGTAATGCCACAAACACTGGACCGGCTCCTGTTAATCCCATTAAACCCGCAACCGATGAAGAGAAGAAAATTTTCGATGGTGGTATTTTGCGTAAACAAAGACGCCAACTGCTGCAGGCCTCTTCGATATTCAAAGTGGAACCCAATGATTATGAACAATCTCTCATGTATGAGTTGTTCAAGAGAACAACACCTCAGGCTACCATGGAATTAAATTTACGAGTACTGCCACCAAATTGTCGCTGGATGTCGGATTCATTTGTTACAAATACCATTGCATCGTTCCCGGAAAATCGCAATGCCCACAATAAGGTATTTGGTGGATTTTTAATGCGTAATGCCTCGGAAATTAGTTGGGTCTGTGCCAATTTATATTGTAAAACGGCCAAACCCAAAACTGAACACATCTGTGATATTAGTTTTGAAAAGCCGGTCAGTGTGAATTCCTTCATTAAAATGACTGCCTATGTGGTCTATACGGAGGTAAATTATCTACAGATAATGACAGTGGCCGATGTCATTGATTCGGTGACGGGTGATCAATTGACTTCGAACGTTTTCTATTATACCTATTCGGCTACGGAACAGGTGCCGGAAGTCTTACCAAGATCCTATCATGAAACTATGTGGTATCTTCAAGGCCGCAGGAAATTCAAATACGCTTTGGGTTTGGAATAAGTAATTGCAAAACAAGAATCCTACAAATCTCCCCCTTAAATGGCAAACAGAAACTTAGAATAGTACTGAAAATAGTGAATGATTTCCAACCTTCTAGCCATGGTAAAATATCTTAAAAATATTTTACATTACTCAATGAAGGTATTTGCCATAGTGTAAAGTCAAACTTTATTATGTGTTTAGTACAACTCACACCCGAATTTCAATTTATTTTCTGAATCGATTTTTTATCTGCTGTATTTCCTTATGTTAACAAACCTTTATTTGATATTAGTTTTTTATTTATTATCCAAATGTACCTTACATACATGTGTATTTTCAATTGGCTATGTTAAGTTTAAAGTATTTATGTAGTTAGTCTAACTATATACATTTTTTGTAATTTATATTAATACCCATCGATGTTGTTGCAATCGCGAAAAAAAAAAAAAACAATTCTAACAAATATTAGTTTTTTTTCTGATTATAGTCGACAAATGTATCTATTCAATTACCCAAAGTTTGGAATTTATGTGTGATATTTTCACACATTATATTGAAAATACCTTTTGGCGACTTATGAGACATTATGGACTTCTTTAAGAAAATTTTTTTTTCTTTATTGAGAAGACATTCTGGACGTCTAGGAGGCCTTGTTTGACTTCCATCCAAGAAATACTACGAATTACCATCAGACTTTGACTTAACTCTAGTATAGTCAAAACTCTTTATAAGGTAGGTTTTTGCATTCTGGGATTCCGGGAAAGTATTTTTTTTTTGGATACCTATATATTTGACTCGAAAATCCGAGTACCTGACCCGAATTTACCAACGAGAATAAATATCCAACAAGAGGGTTATTTAAAACATTTCCGGAGTTATAGCAAGCATTTATGCCATACTGACACTATAACCTTTCCAAATGCTCAAATATGTAGCCGTAGCCGGTGTTAGACATACCCAGAGGAGAAGGCTGGCTGCATAAAAGCATTACATTTTTGAAAATTATTAGTTCTCGTAGCCGGTGTTGGACATACACAGAGGAGAGTACCCAATACGGCATAAAATTTAGAAAAATTAAAGAGAATGTACTGACCCATATCTCTGGATCTAAGATAATAACACACTTTGGCATACATTTTGTGGACTCTCAGTATGGAACTTTTTGGCCTTTGTTATAAAAATCCGGGTCCAAAAAATTAATAATTTTGATACAACTACGGAGCCATTTTAAATAACCCCATCATGCGTCCACTTGTTGTATAGACATTTCCATTAGCTTTCAAATGATACAAATGTCCATATTTGTTTAGTAGGTGGTACGGGTCTTGGACATGGACTTTTTGGTCATATATTCTGACATCCGGGTCCGCCCAAGAAAAAAATGACTTCCCGCAAACAGGGTGCAAATATCTAACTCTTGAAAAATTTTCGAGAGCTTTTACTAAACGAAAGTTGTTCCCAGATTTTTCCAATGACCCACTCTTTTTCCTTATATACCAATATCACCCCACAAAATAAACAAACAGCCAACTTTTTAATATTTTTTGGTGATTTTGTAAATTGTCTTCATTTTACAAAACAGAATTTTTCTTGTCCATTTTATTTTTTACTTGGTAAAATTACAATAAAAAAAAGAATCAACTTTTTTTCTTCTTTCTCATCCGAAAAAAACTACATCCTCTCCATCTTAAATTCTAAATCTAAAACATTTAGAATCGCATGCGGTGAGGGTATTGAGATGAGTGCAAAGCAAACATGCTCTTCAAGTATTTGGCGACGAATTTACCATCGGTATGAGCCTTGATAGCCTTGAGTACAACAGCATCGACTTCCTTTTGGTCCTTCTTGCGTTGTTCGTTGGGGACGAAACGTTCCTTCTTGGTGGCGAAGATATCACCTTCGGCGGATTTCTTTTGCTTGTTGAGCTTCAAGCGACGGAAGTAGGCATCATCCAAAGTTTCGGGAACTTTGTAGTCGCCCAAGTCAACGCGGGTAGAGGTGCCGATAACATAACGTTGAGACACGCGACGCAATGGGCAGGAGTTCAAGCAGAAGGGACCGGTGACCAACAAGAGGCCAGAGCTCAAGGACTTCAACAAAACAACACGCTTGCCTTGGTGACGGCCGGCCAACAAGATGAGGACGGTACCGGGTTTAAGGTTGGAGCGTACCTTGCGTTGGTGCTTGCTGAAGACATTCTTAGCGGGGCGCTTCTTGACGAAACGCTTGGTGGGGTAGTTAGCCTTGGGCTTTTGAAGGTAGACGGTACGTTCACCACCGTTCTTGGGACCACCGATTTTCTTGACCTTCTTGATGTCCTTCTTCAGGGTCTTGACGACTGGACGCTTGGTACCCTTCAAACGCCATTGAGCGCGGCGCTTGTACATCTGCAAGAAAGAGGAGTTCACATTATAGAACGTACTACAAAATAAACAAACAAGAGGGGCGAAGGTGTAAACAAAACAAATGTGATGATGGTGGGGGGACAAAGCAAAAATTTGGAAAAATATTTACAAATTCACAAAATATGACTTCTAATTAACACTTTCTGGGGAAAGAATCCAATGGATGCCTCTTCCATTTGTCAAAACACACACTATTAGTTTACGAATCGTAAATACACATATTTCATATTTAGTCACAAATAATTGATTAATTAGAACGTATCCAGTCCGTCCACGGTTAATGTCCTTGCAAGAATTTCCAAAATTTGTCACTACCACCATTATTTTTGGTATTCATTTTCTCCACATTTTATACTTTGTTTCACACACGCACGCACACAAACGCATCAAGGAGTTTCCGTCGGCACCATCATCACATCGTAGAGGAAGGAGTTTTTCTGGAGGATATTTCAAGGATTATTACCTGGCTCTTGGAGTAACGCAAAACACCGCCATGGAGGTAAGTGTTCAAGGGATGTTTAGCAATTTTCTTGCCCGATTTATCGGTTTTCTTAGCTTTTTCGACGGGTGCCATATCGGAAAACACGTGTACACCGCACAGAAATTATGGTAAAAAGGAAGGTTAGGTACAACGGCGTTGCCAGATAAAATATATGACAGACAATTGACAGTTGTCAACCGGTATTGCCAGGTATACTCTGAACGAAAAGTGTATTAGTTATGAAAGTGATACTTTAATTTTGCCGTACGTGAGTTGGTGCAATATGAATGGAATATAAATTTTGAAGAAACGAAAACAATTAAAAGCTATGGCATAATTAACACGTCACATGTTATTTAATGTCTCCTGTGATCGGTAATACAAGTTGAAGTACAGTATAGATGAAGCCATGGTACAATAATTTACTTGCTATTTTTTCTGGTGGCAGGTTTTTACTGTCAAAAGTTTCTTTGCTTTGAATCCAACAATAAGAAAGAAAAGACAAAGCCATAATAAAATTAAGAAGGTAAAGTCATTTTAAATAAGCATTTTCTGTAATTTACCTTGTCACATTTCATTACATAAAAACAGGTTCCCATTTCTGATTTGTTTATGTACAATGGATTTATAAATTGGAATTGTACACAATCCTCCCAAATCTACGATGACTTACCATACAAACTTAAATTAACTCAAAACATAGATTTGTTTTACCCAATGCTCCTAAAAATGCAACCTAGATAAGGTCGTCCAAAAAAACTACTTTTGACAACGATTTGACAATAAACTTAGTAGTTTTTGCAGAATTGTCTTTTGACAGCAAACTTATTCGTCAGATGGGTATACTGGCCGATCTTATATAGACCATGTATCGTAGTCTATAGTTAATTTAAAATCACATACAGAAATACACAAAAACACACGCAAACCCATGGTACAATAAAGAGGTAAGGTAGAGCTACCAGCTGATTACGACTTCTGCCAATTTTGTGTATGTATTTATCGTTTTGGAAAGTAAAAACAAAATAATTTGAAAAAACCAATGATTAGAAGACATGTACATCGCGGCTCGCGTATTAAAGCAATTAACCAGATTAGCCATGAAATTGAAAGATTGAATCGTTTGAATCAAATATTTGACAGCTAATCCAGACATTTCGTTCATTTTTCGCGCTTCTAACCCATTTTAAAAATGAGGACAAATATGAAAAAAAAAATGAAATGAACTTATATAAAATTGTGTATGAATCTGACAGGAAGCGGGCATATCCTCAGGGCTGTATTTCATATATTTCATAATAATATGTCTGCGCATTTTTCTCAGGAGTCAAAAAAAAAAAAAAAAACACTTATACGCTGGGATAAGCTTCAAGAAGCCAGAAAAAATGAAAATGTATATGGAAATATAGTAGCTGAAATGCTGCCAGGATAGGAATGAAAAAACTAACATTTCAACACCATTTTTAGGCTTTCCTGTCGATAGCAACACATAAAAAAGGTTGAGTTAAATTAACAATTCTTTCCATTTTTTGATTTTCAATCTGATTAACGCGCTTATAGAAGACAAGTTTGGCGTAAACAAGGCATAAACTTATTTGAAATAGAGCTAGCTTTATTAACTGTACTATTGTCCAATCGATTTGTCCATGAACATACAATGAAAGTTTACAAAGAAAAACAGTGAGTTTTATGTGAAATACGAGAATTGATTGAGGTAAATTTAACTTTTCATTCGGTCTGCTTTACTATCTGTTAAATAAACACTTGAGAATTTCGAAATTCCAAGACATAATCACTAACTCATGGCACAAACGTCACTGACTCTGTGAGGTTCGTACCGTGAATTTGTTATAAAGCAATATAAGTTATTTTCCCTTGCCACGTATTTCATTCAGGAAATTTCACAAAAAATTTTAAATAATTAAATTAAGTGTGTTCACTTAAACAATATACACTTTGTATCTGTTAAATGATATAATTGAAACAAGTGATGAACATCGTTGAAGAAAATCTATATTAAATACAAGCATTGACATCATACGCTGCGTAAAGTGAGTAAACCATCAAAACTGGCAATGTTCATATATTACGTGGGGTATGGCAATGCCGCATGAAGCTGTGTTCAGTATGTCTGTTTATAAATATAGGGAATGCAGAGCTGGTTC